AAATATATCAATTTAATTGAGAGTAAAAGATTTGTTACCTTTTAATTCAAAGAAATAAGAGATGGAAAGCTTGAAACCACCACACAAATTTATTTACTCCTCCCCCCTTATCTTACTCTCAATGCCTCCCCTCTTTTAAAAAAAAAATCTTTTGTTTCCTTTTTGATATTTTCTTATTCAAACCCTTCCTAATAAACTTTAATAACTAGTTATATCTCTTTTTATTTTTATTTTTATGACTTTATTTGGATGAACTTTGATAATTTTCACTCAATTCTTCTCCCTCTCAAGCCCTAACATGGCCAGCCACCTCTCCCATAAATTCCACTTCCCACTTTTTTATATATTTAAATTTTTTCCTTCTTTTTATTTAAGTCCTTTCTTATTTTGTTTTAAAACCATTTAGCCCAAAAATTTGACTTATTCAGTTTAAATCATTGTCCTACATTCATATTATTAGATTATAATTTATATTCCATTAACTTATATATATATATATATATATATTCAATTATTTGCTCCTCCCTCTTTTTTTTTGGTAAATCAAAATATAAAAATTCACCTGGGAGTTACATACATGCAGCTAAAGAATTTGATAAACATGTTCCAGAAAAATCTTGGATATTTTTAACTTAATTATATGGCACTAATATTTATTATATAAAAAGTAATAATTTTATTTTTTTTGAAAACACTAATTTTCTCATAAAAACATTCTTTTCCTATTAATATCTTTAATTTAAAAAGAAAATCTAAAGTTATTTATATATCTTTTATTTGATTAACATAAACTATTTAGGAGGGGAATTCAATCATCCCCTCTTTACAAAATATTGTTCACTTTGACTATGCTTTTTTTTAAGATTTTTTTAAAATTTTATTTTTTAATATTAAATTTATTTATTCTAGTCTCATAACTTGGTTGTGGACTAGAAAATTTAATTAGGTTTTTTTTATATTTTTTTAGTTATTTTTTTTTTAATTCTATCCTTCAATACTTGATTGATTTGAAATTGAACTTCATAATTTTTTTCAGTTTACTTTCTATGAAATTATTTTGGTCTCATTATTTAGATCATGGGTTTAGAAGTTAATTTAAGTTGACTTAAATTATTTTTTTATTTTTTTTTTAATTTCATCCTTCAACATTGAGTTTGTTTATCCCAGTCTCAAGACTCGGGTCGTGGATTTGGCCAATTAACTCAGGGTTTTTTCATCTTTTTAGTTGAATTTTCTTTCCAATTTCATTCTTCAATATTTCATTGATTTGAAATTAGGTTTTATATTTTTTTTATTTACTTTTTATTAAATTATCTCGGTCTCATTATCTAGGTTATGAGTTTGGTGGGGTAACTTGAGTTAACTCATGTTATTTATTTTGTATTTTTTAAAATTTTATCTTTCAACATTAGATTAATTGAGAATTGATCCTTATAATTTGTTTTGAATTGCTTTCTACGAGGATATCCCAATCACATGACATGGGTTGCATCTTTGATAATTTAACCTGAGTTGACTCGAGTTATTTTTTTTTTTTTTAATCTCATCCTTTTATAGGGTTGATAATTTAACCTGAGTTGACTCGAGTTGTTTTTATTTTTTTTAATCTCATCCTTTTATAGGGTTATCTTAATCTCATGATACTTGTCGTAAATTTAGCAAGTTAACTTGAGTTAATCGAGGTTGATTCAATATGTTTTTTATCTCAATATTTAAAAAAAAAAAACAATCTTGAATTTTTTTTAGTTGAACTATATTTTTAACAATTATCCGGGTTATTTTTGGACCATTAAAGTTAAGTCAACCCAACACGATTAAATTTTTTATATTAGAAAAAATATTAGCAATATATGACATTGGTTTACATTAAAAACAAAATTAATTTGACCCGTAGTGTTGTATCGATGATCTAGTAAAAACTAAAAGTACCTAAAATACATAAAAAAAAAATTATGACAATCTAAAATAAGGATAAGAAAATACATATGTAACTAAAATCCCTATCTCATCTATATGCTAAATTATTTTTAAAAAATTCCACCATAGTAGTTGTCCTTTGACACCATTTTTTCCCTATTCCAATAGCAAATTTCAATTCTAAAATAATAACATTATAATAGCATAGCTTTTAAACCTAATTCAAAGGTTGACTGGAGGTAAATTTTAAGTTAGGGGTCAAGTAAGTTGACCCAAATCAATCTTTTTTTTATAAACATATAAAAATATCAACATTTTGAACAAAAAAAAACAACCTTTAATAGGTTTCCCTTAGGCTAATTAGGTTATGCATCAACCTTTTTTTCTACAGATCATATCGGATCAATCTTTTACCTATTTCTATTGAAACCTAACTCGGCTTAAATCCCAGATCACTTGGTTCATTAGTCAAATTGTTGAGTTAAGTCAAGTTTTTAAATAAATGGTATGTCAGATTATCTCAATTTCATTACCTTGACTAGCCTTTTTTTTTTTTTTATAAATATGTAAAAAAGACATTGTGTTTTTTTAAAAAAAGAAAAAGGTCAATGAGTCTTTACTAGGTTTTTCTAGAGCTAATTGGCTGTTTAGAACTATAACTCGAGTTATTGGAATTTTGTTCTTTCATTAAAATGCATTTATAATGCCTAAAATTTTTATAAGAAATTTAGCATAGTTCAAGCCACTTTCTAATAAATAACTAATACTTTATTATTAATGGATAACCAAGGGAGGGTAAAATTAGAAATACAAGTTGCATCACAAAACTTTTGATTGTGATTGATTAAAGACTTGTTTTGCTTGGATGGCTTGTTGGGGTATTTTCACTTATGAATATCATTTAAAAAAATAATAGTCACATAACATAAGTAGAAAAAATTAGTAAAATATCACAATTTATTATATGCCATGGCTGAGAATACAACATTTAAAGTTGTAGCTAATTAGAAATGTAGTATTTCAAGAAAATTATTAAATGTGTAGACATAAATTACAATAAAGAGAGAAGAGAAAAGAAAAAAATAAAGATATTTTAAAGACATATCAAAGCCTCAATTACGACATCTCTAGTATTATAAAAAAAACTTGATGAGATAAATTCAATAACATCAACAACAATTGGAATAAGACATGCTATTTATCCAAAGGCAAGTGAGCAATTACAATGAAAAGATATGAGAGAGAAAAAATAATGAAATAAGAAAAAAATAAAATAAAAGGACCATGAAGATAGATAAAATATTTGATTATGATATTATTGGTACGATAATTTTTTTTTTAAGAAGATGAATCTAACAATATTAAAAAAAGTCATTATAATAACTGGAGTGAGTCATATATAGTAAGTAAATCATTTATTTTTAGATGAAGATTATTTTACTTTTTGAGTATAACCTAGTCAAGTCATTATTGGTGATTTTTTTATTTTGTTGGATATGTTTTATCAAAGTTTTTTTTTATGATACTGGTTGCGTTGCGATGTGAACTTTAATATGTTTTGAAGGTTTTTTTTTTCTTCTTATTTTTTTTATTGTAATACCTCGCTTATCTTTATACAAGGAGTGTAGCCCTATTCATCATTATTTGTATTTTTTTTGTGTTATTAAATTATTTTTATTAAAATTCCTATAAAAATACTGATGATATTTTCAGTAAGTCTCCGAAGTTTTTTTTTTTCTTCCCCTTCTCATCCCTTCCATCTCCGCGTGATAACTTTAAAAGTGGTGTTTTTTTTAATCGTGATGCGTCTGAGCTATGATATTTCACAATTTTTTTAAAAAAAATTGTGTTATTTTTCTAAATTTTTATTTCTAAACAATGCTATATATATATATATATATCAACTTGTTGTCTCACAAGAGTCCTCGAAGGGTACAAGTTACCAAAAATAGCCCGTGAGGCAGCCCCTGGTATTAGTGCACAGATGACAGATTTTGCACATCCATGTGCTTCCAAGGCGTACTTTAGCATGCGTGGTCCACTATGGTGAGGAGAGTATGGTTTGCAGGATCCAATGCGTTGGAATGACAATATTTAATTTAATCAATTAAGTTCCAGAACTTAATTTAAAAAATTTGTTTTATGTTCCTGATATTAGGAGTCAAGGGCTAGGATTCCACTTGCCATTTTCTCTTTTATTCTTCTTCTGCAGGGAGTGATTATTTCTTTGAAAGTTATTGTGAATAATCCAAAAATTTTATTTTATTTTATTTTATTTTTTATCATATATTAAATCAATTGAAGTGAACGGTTTAAATTTAATTAATATGGCAATAAATGAATGTATAACTAGGATTGGTTTGGATTTTTAATCAAGTTGTTGAGAAATATGAATGATGCCGTTCAACCTTTCCCTATGTCATTTATTCCAATTTATTTTTTTATGTCATTGTGATTTTTTTAAGAAATAATATTTTTATTTTTTTAATCATTCTCATTTATTAATTATAAAAAAATAATTTTAATATATTTTTAAATAAAAAATACTTAAAAAAATCATGATTGCAATGCGGAAGGAGTCCACTCCATTTGTGCCAGCTTCAACTTTTCACGCCGGTCTATGCTGCTTTACCTACGAGAGATTTGCTTGAAAATGAAAGATAATCATCCTTTCAAATTCAGCGATAGATTTTTATATGACCAATTAGCAGCAGTAAAACACGCACACGTGTACCTGTAAATAGTTGACTTTTTTGAGAGTCCAGACTACCTCTCTATTCAGAAATTGATTTAAGAAAACACCTTTATTTAATTTAATTTAATTTAATTTTGTCTCATTGAATTAACCTCCGGTTTGTTTATTCAATTCACATTTCTTGCTTTCTCGTTTGCCCTTTCAATCTGACCTTCAAGTTGAGGACACAGATGGCTTTGTTTGTGGGTGGTAGCCGCAGCAATCCCATGGGCATAATAGTAACAACACAAAGAACAATCATGTGAGGGGTTTAGCAAATCAAAATAATTAAGATTATCATTATTATTATCGCTGCTAAATGTTTTTTTTCCCCCTATTATCTGCTGGTATTTTACTATTTCTTGTGTTTATCAGCCATTGCGTTCGTTCTTTTAGTTTTTAAGTTTTATGGTGTCAGCACTAGTTGTGCGGCAGGGAAAATAGTAGAAAATTTCTATCCTTAAATTCTCGCTTCAGTCCACACTGGTTCATCTCCATCATCATCTAGAGAGCTTATCTCCTGTCTTTTCTTCTTATAATCTCTACTCTCTCTTTTTCACCCTCTCTACTCTTTTCTCCAGATATATATAGACGTAAGAGTAAAAGGAGAGAGAGGGCAGTGCGGGGGTCAGTTCCAAAAGCAAAATAAATTATTTTGTTGTGTTACTCTCTTGATTCAACCATAATGCAGATGGGTTTTGGTTAAAAAGGTCCCCCCTTTTAAATCTTCTTGCCTAGAGTTAATCATGATTTATTATCTCAAGATTCTTGCTTGGCTGATGTGAATCTTCAGCAGCTTGGTTTTGGAGAAGAAAAACCTCTAATTTTTGTCAATTGAAAAACCCATTTGGAATTCTGAATCCAGGTACTAAAAAGTCTCTATCGTTGCTTTCGGTTTTTCTTTGGAATGTGTATTATTTGGCAGTCATTTTATTAGCCCACATGATTTGATTAATTCTAAGACTTTTAATTAGTTGCTGTAATTGTGAAGATTGGCTCTTTAATTTCGACTCTTATTGAGAAAATGCTGCGAAGATTCGCAAAGTTCTGTGTTTAATTTGGGCATATAAGAGAGCGTCTTGTCCAAGCAATTCCAAAAGAGAGAGAGAATTAAAATATAAAGGGTTTTCTACCGTTAACCTTTCAGAACTGCTTTATAATCTCTCTACTTGGCTAATCTGGGGTTCTTTTATACAGTATCCGTTGTTTCCATTTTTTATTTTTATAGATATAGAAAAAGAGAGAGATTTATAGATAGACGTGTCATCCACCAACCATGGAGTTGCAATTTTGAGGCTTTGTAGTTGTTGAATTTTCTTTGGAAGAACCTCGCTGCAATATCTCTTCAAGTTTGAGTTTTTAGTTTCTGGTTTGGATTTGGGTTATTGTTAAGGAGAAGATTGTGAGGGCTGGCTTCGTGGTTGGTTTTACTTTTGGGTTTTGCAACGTTTTTTGAGTGTTATTCTGCTGAATTCTAACATCTCAAAGCATCGATGGGGCTTCTTCGAAGTCTCGTGATGCTTTCTCTTCTTACATTGATCCTCTGGTTGCCGAGTTTTAATGCTCAATCAACAAACAGTGCACGTGCCCTTGATGCTCTCCTCCAAGATTATGCTTATAGGGCATTTGTTCTACCTAGGACTGGCATTCCGTATGATGGGATTGTTCCTTCTAATTTGACTGGGATTAAGATTGCTGCCATGAGGCTCAGGAGTGGTAGCTTGAAAAGTAGAGGTGTTCGGATGTACAAAGAGTTTGGGATTCCAGAAGGAGTAGTGGTGCAGCCATATGTGGAGAGGGTTGTTTTAGTCTACCAAAATTTGGGCAATTGGTCTTGGAGATATTATCCGCTGCCTGGTTATACTTACATTGCTCCAGTGTTGGGCCTTCTTGCTTACGATGCTTCGAATTTATCTGCTACGAATTTGCCTGAATTGGACATCATGGCATCTGGTAACCCCCTAAATATCTCATTCCTGAATGTTCGTTCAGCTCCAGATGGGTCTATTGCAAAGTGCGTGTGGTTTGATTTACATGGTTTTCCGAGTTTGAGCAATGTGACGTCTGGAAATGTATGTTCGACAATCCAGCAAGGGCATTTTTCAATAGTTGTTGAGTCTCTTGCCCCTTCTCCAGCACCAGTGTCTCCAACTCCATCTCCTCCAAACGTGGGTCCTGGGCCAAGTGGAGGGGGAAAGAAGAAGAATTCTAAAATAATGTGGCCAATTATTGGGTCTGTTCTGGGTGGATTATTGCTGTTAGTGCTTTTGTCATTCCTCATATTGTGGGCACAGAAATTGAAGCAGAGGAAGAAAGTGCAACGGATGGAGAGGGCTGCAGAGGTGGGGGAATCCCTGCAGATGACAATGGTCGGGGAAACGAAAGCACCAGCAGCAATGGTGACTCGAACACAACCAACCCTTGAGAATGAATATGTGCCATAACTCCTCCCGCTTGTACAAGTCCTCCCACCTTTCCACACACATTCTTATTCAAGCTTCATTCCTGTATTAAGAAATTCTTCCGTTCACACCTTTTTTTGGTGGTGTCTTCTTCCTCGCCTTGTTTGGTTCTAGTAGGCTTTTCATTGTAGTGTGGGTAATATAGGATTTTTGTGTAAATCTGTTATCACCCAGAAACCCTCCATAGTTTTATGATTCATTGTGGTGTGCATTATAGCCAAAAGTAATTTTATTATTTGATGAATTTAGTTCTCTCATTGACAAGGAATAAAACTTTTTGTGGTGCCTTTCTTTATAGATAGATTGTTTTCTGTGTGTTCCTCTGATAATGCAGCATATGGATTACCACTTACCAGTGACCTGAGGTGAAGCTTGGTTTTAACAAGCTACGGCTTCAGTCATTCCAATTGAGTCTCTTACTTTTTTAGCCAATATCAGAGGTTTGGGTCTGTCGGTGAACTTTCTTAATTTCTAACCTCACAGCGGATCAAGAAAACTTACCTTGCACTGATTGCATTTGTGTGTTCTTATGAGAGTAGTGAAAGATAATTTTCTCCCATTATCATCTTGAAATTGGGTTTGGCTCGTTCTTAATGTCGAAAAATGTTCCCTTGATAATTTTAAACGCTTGGCTTTTGCTTTACCAAGAACAGATTTCTTCAAGTTGTGAGTTCAGCCAACCAAGTGAAGGAAAATATAGAATGAAAAAGGCAGTCTTATTCATCACTCGAAATCATCACCAAACAGCTTGAATTGTATGCAAACAAGAAAAGATAGGGCAAGTTGTCATATTTATATATTACCCGGGAATCAGTGAAATTATAGCTGGAGGCTTGAAGCCCTACACTTGCTGCTTCTGGTGGAGGTTTCTACCCATGAAAGAGACAGATGAGAGACTGTAACTCTCTTGCATTTATACCATTAAAATTTGAGCTCTGCATTCCCTTCACATGACCCTCAGTCAACTCAAGACCAATGCATTTTCAGATTTACTGTCTGTCCTTATCTGTCTACACTGTTAATGACTTTGGAGTTTTTCAGATTATAATTAATTTAAGCAATCTTCTTCCAGACAGCAGATGGCAAAGGAATCCCTCCTTCCTATGATCAGCAGCTGTTTAGCCACGGGCTGTCCAAATTTATGTTATCTTTGCTTTTATAGTGGAAGCACTGTGCTTGTCTTGAGTCCTCTGCCTGCCAGATGGTATCAAAGAATTGGACACTGTGTCTTCCGTTGCCAGAAGCAAGTTTTGTCAGATTCATCACTAGTTTTTCAAGAGATTTATTCCAAAATGACCATGTATCTGCTGTGGTGATGTTCTTCCAAAACTCATCAGTTCATGAATTGAAGAACTAGAAATTCTAAACAGGGCTTCTCATGTTTTTTATGCTTCACGTTACAATCTCTTAACTGCATGATTTACAGAATATGAATTGATTTACATACTTTAAAAAAATTACAACTAAAAATACTTTTTCTAAATCTTTTTTTTTTTTTTACATCACAAAGGCTATAACAGTAATAAATATACTTTAAAAACAATTTTAAAAACATTTCAACCGCAAAAAATAAACTAACTAGTTGCATGAAAGCAGCCAGCAGAAGGAACTGTGGAGAGAGGACCAGGTGTCGCAGCCGGAGGTCACTCCTATTCTCACTAAAGGAAAGCCAAATCATCATCCTCTCTCTGCACAACTCACGAAATCCTCTGCAATCTCACTGATGTCGTCGTCTACCGAAATTCTCTTACTCTTTTTTATCGTGGGTCCCATCCTATCATCAGCCAAAACCCCACACGTCATCCATTTCCGATCTCCCAACCTCTACCCTGAAAGCCTTACCTACGATCCCTCGGCACAGCACTTCATCGTCGGCTCCCTCCCCCCCACCGCACTGTCAGCTCCGTCTCCGACGCCGGCGTCACCGAAACCATCATCTCCGACCCCTCCCTCCCTCCCAGCACCAGCATCCTCGGTCTCGCGGTGGATAAACTCAACAACCGCCTCCTCGCTGTCATCCACTCCTTCGACTCTCTCCATCCCTTCAATGGCCTCGCCGCTTACGATCTCCGTTCCCGCCAGCGCCTCTTCCTCTCCCTCCTTCCTTCTACCCCCTCCGACGAAGACGGCCGCAGCCCCATCGCCAACGCTGTCGCTTTCGATTTCAAGGGCAACGCTTACGTCACCAACTCCGAGGGGAACTTTATTTGGAAAGTCAGCCCGGAAGGAGAGGCCTCGATTTTCTCAACATCTCCGGTATTCACGCAGTTCCCCGTGGACCGCGACTCACCGTTGAGTTCCTTCGGGTTGAACGGGATTGCTTACGTCAGCAAGGGGTATTTGCTGGTGGTGCAGACCAATACGGGCAAGTTGTTCAAGGTTGATGCCGATGACGGCACGGCAAGGAATGTTTTGTTGAGCGAGGATTTGCCGGAGGGCGATGGGATTGCGATAAGGGGAGACGGTGTCGTTTTGGTTGTGTCGAATAAGAAGCTGTGGTTCTTGAAGAGTGATGATAGTTGGGGAGAGGGGGTGGTTTATGACAAAATTGACCTTGATGGGGAGAGGTTTCCTACCTCGGTTGTGGTGGGGAGAGAGGATAGGGTGTATGTGTTATATGGGTGTGTGGCGGAGGGTCTAAGTGGGAAGGGAGGGAGGGAGTTGTTTGATATAGAGGAGGTGAGGTCCGAGAAGGAGAGTGAAGATGAGAAAATTTGGGTGTATGTGTTGATAGGATTAGGCTTGGCAATTTTTTTTATTTGGAGGTTTCAGATGAAGCAGCTTATCAGAAACATGGATAAGAAGGCCAACTGAGAGTGCTTATGCTCTTGCTTGCTAGCAGGAAGGGGTAATAATAGTTTGTTTCTTTGCTTGTTTCATACTGTTGATGATTTCAAGATCATTAAGTGTTATATTTTGGCAATCAATGTTGATGAATGTTTCTCGCTAGTTGAAAAATTATGGTAATTGTTTGTGGAACAAGGAGATCCAGACGAGGGACACAAGTATCGGTTCTGTTTCCCTTTCTTCTTTATTTACAAGTATAATTGCGCAGTCAATTAGTAATCATGAGCTTCTCTGCTTTGCGGTCTGTTAGCTAGTTCATTAATGACATTAGTGCAAGGTGCAGGCGTTCTGTTTTTTTTCTTTCAAAGCTTTTCTTAGTTCTTAGATTTTGATAAATCTCAAAAGTAAGGGGAAGATACATGTCAAATAGCTGTCCTGAAAGAGCAGCAGAATTAGCATCAGCATTTTCCCTCCTATCGAGATTGGACTGGGAGAATTCGAGAGCTTGTCTGTAAAGTTCTAAATGCTGATAAAGCTTTTCTCTTGTTCTGGTGGAGGATGCAACAATGGCTTGGAATGCATATAGGAAGAATTTCTTATTTGCATCCCTCTTGCTACTTTTTTTGGACACTTCGGAGAGCGTATGGGTAGCTTTTGTGGGAAAGTAATGTAGATGTGTCTCATCTTAGATGGGTTGTTTTTCCTACTCTAGACAGGCCTTTGCTTGGGCATTCTCCCATTTCTGTAAAGGTTGGAAAACTCCTGTGTTTAGAAGGGTGATTTTGGGTGTTAACAATGAACTTTGGCTGCTGCTGAGCATTATTAATGACATTGTCTTTAAATTCTGTTTGGTGAACCTGAGCTTTTTCTTTTTTTCCATTTTTCTTTAAACTACATTATTAATGACATTGCTTTCACTGGCCAAAAATTGGTGAATCTTATTTATTGATTTCATGCTTCTGCTTCTGTTGTTGAGATATCAAATGGTGTGCTGCTGACGATTTCAGGGGTGGGCTACAATATCGTGAAGCTTTTATCATACTGCTTAAGGAGGGTGATGTGATCACGACAAGCTCTTATATGACCCTCCATTTACCTATGCTCTCTTGTGGCCATTCACTAAAACTCTTCAATCATCAGCTTTTTATGATATCATGATATCCAATGTGGTAAGCCTTTCCTATGGACTCCTGAAGAAGAAATAAAGTGCACATTCGACATCCCAGAAGTCCTACGGGCAGCATCAGTTTGATCTTCCTTTCGTTTTGATTTGTGAATTTCCGTCGGGCAATTGAGCTCATAAGACAGATTGCAGACTCCTTATCCTGTGCAGCTCTTGTTGGCTTTTTGCATCTTCCTTGGTATTAATATCAATTTCACTTTTTGTCTTTTTGCTTGTGTTTGCTTCTCGACTGCAATCATGGAGGATCAACTCAATGTTCACCGCTCATGAATGGCTTGTGTCTGTGAGATGCATCCCTGGAGTTGAGAAGTTTTCATAGGAATTCCAGGTCAAATATTTTAAGTGGAACATCAAATTATTAAAGTCGAGGACAATTAAGAATCAACAGACGGCATCTTCCTTGTTTAGTAAAATACCAGCCTAGGCATATACATGCTACCTTACAAGTAATTAAGGCAAGAACTCGCTTGTTTGGTAGAAAGTTTTTTGAAAATTATTTTTTAAATTTTGTTTGTTTATTATTAAAAAAATAAATTAATAAAAAATACTTTTCAGCTGGAAAAAGAAATAGGTTGGTTTTTATATATATATTTTTTTATTTTGGATGGAAAATACTTTCTAAAAATTATGAAAAATTTATGAATATTATATTATTTGTTAATTATAATAAATTTAGTACTTAAACTTTTGATTGCTATATATTTTGTTTTGAATTTTTTTTTTAATTTCACCTCTTATAATTTAATTTGATATAATTTTTATGTTAGCTTTGATTTTTATTTTTTTATCATTGTTATTTGCTTTTTTTATTATTATTTTTAATTGAAATATTTTATTTATTAAATTTGATTTTTTTGAAATATTTTATTTATTAAATTTGATTTTTATTTGATTTATTATTTTTAAAAAAAATATCTCATCCTAATTTTTTTGATTGTTATTTATTTTATTTGAATTAGTTTGTGAAATGTTAATTATTATTATTTTAATATTTTGATTGTTATTTATTTTATTTGAGTTAATTTGTGAAATTAGATTTTTTTCAATTTCATTTTCATTCAATTTTTTAATTCAATTTTTTAATTTGTAAGATTTGTTTTTTATTATTTTAATAAACTTGAAAAAAAAACCTATTAATAAGTTATTTTTTGACTCATTTTTTATAACATTATCAAATATTAGAAAATATTTTTTAATTTATTTTTTCATAATACTATTAAATATCAAGAAATAATTTATTTTCAAAGAAATTATATTAAAAAAAATTATTTTCTAATAAGGTTCTATTATCAAATATTAGAAAATATTTTTTAACTTATTTTTTCATGATACTATCAAACATCAAGAAATAATTTACTTTTAAAGAAATTATATTAAAAAAAAATTATTTTCTAATAAGGTTTTATATTAATTTCAAGCAAAGATGATGGCATTTTTTTGATATCATGTTATCATAATAATGGAGATCATGTTTATATTTAATATAATGATTTAAAATATATGTTGACTAATATATTGAAAACAAATGTGTAAATGTTAATTGTTAATTAAAGATGAGAGTGAGAAGTTAATTTTTCTAGTGATAAATAAAAAATAAATACAAATATAAATATTTTATCTTTGCTATCGATTACTTTTTATATATATTTTAATTTATCTTGAAGACTTGTTATGGTGTTTAAGTGCATATCATTCTCTTTCTATAAAATCATTATTAAACTATAGTTTTATTGTAAATAAAATAAATATCCTTTTGTATTTGTATTATCAAATAAAATTTTGTTATTCATGTATTTTTTTTACCATTACAAAAACATGCCTTTTTAATTAGAAGCAAAGTTTTTAAAATAAAAATTCATCATGGTCTTAAACAAAAAAAAAATCATTTATTGATATTTTGCACACTACAATGTAAAGAATAAAAGAAAATGATTAATTTTATAAAATTATATGAAAAAATTATGAAAAGATAATAAAACAAATATTTTATTTTCATTGAATATTCATGACCATATTTTAAAAAAACAATTGCATATTACATTCATGCATAATTATTCATAAAAAAAGATAATATAACCATAGAAAAGCTACATTCTTATTCAAAAGTTATGAACAAGCATAGCTAAACAATTTTGTAAATATTATCTTACTAATTTTATTTAAAAAAATCAAAAGAAAAAAATAGAAATGAATGGGACAACATTCCATTTAGAAATGATTGGGACAATGTTGATTTTAAAAAGTTGAACTTATATACCTAATCTAAAAGTGAAAAACCTAGGGGCATGCTTAGAATCCAAGTCAAGCCAACACACTTAGTTAAGTTTATAAATATATAATAATTATAGTTTATCAAAACAATATATATATATATATATATATATATATATAATGAGCAACACATCATTATTAGCATGGGCAAATAATAAATTATTTACTAGTTTGTTTTCTAATTATCATCAAGATTCAAGTTTCAAAATCTTAAAAATTTAATTTTTAACTTATTTCCACCTAAAAGTATCTCAAAAACACTTTAAAATCTTGATAAATCTGTTTTTAATAATAAAAAATCATTTAATCACTTTAAAAACAAAGAATTCAACCAAATCTAAAGCAATTTTACAAACTCTTGTCTATTTTTTCTTCAGCATGTTTGAAGAGAAAATTTTCATTGAATTCCTCCTTTTAAGATGAACATATTAGCACTAAGATCGATTTTTCTTTTCATTTTTATGATCAAAATATGACCAACTAGACTCTTTTCTCTTTTATTTTTTTGTTATCTTTTCTTCCTCTCTCAATATTTAGTGACTAGAATGCAAAAAAAAAATCTTTTCTTCCTCTCTCAATATTTAGTGATTAAAATAAATAAATAAAAAGTTTATTGCCATAACATAAAATCCTAAAACAACAAGAACCAAATATGAAAAAATTAAAACTTTCAAGGATGAAACTAGAGTTTTTTGCACATTTTGAACAATGAAAATGAAAAGAGCTCCTTTTTTTGTTAAATTTAGTTCTAGTTTTTTTTTTTGTAATATAACTTAAAATTTTATTTTATAATATTGATCTCTACCTAATTTTACATAGTTTGAACACTTTCAGTTTGATTTATTAGTTTCGAGTTTTTTTTAAGTAATTTTGCATGAAAAGTATGTGCTAACTCATAAAATTTTATAATTTTAAAAGTCAATTTATGATTTTAACAACATTGCCCTAAAAAATAATTCATAATATTTGTGTATTTAATTTTGTGCATGTCAATATTATCAATAATTATGCACTTGATTTATAATTTGTATAAGTCACAAATTATTTTTGGGTAGTAACATTCCTATAAAAAAAAATCATAAAAAAATAAAAAAAAGGACAAAAAAATTTCTTTTTTATTTTTGTAATATTTTAAGCATTAATTATAATAATTTGGATTGGTTCAATGTAATCCCATTAAGATCAATTGAATAAGAGCAATATATTTTGTGTCTATTTTTAGGAAACTAATTAAAAAAATGGGTTAAATCCCAATTTAATTTTTGTCATCTTTATGAGTCCAATACTCATTTTAAAAATAATCAATCTCACAAGTCTTTTTTATAAAAAGAGTTGATGTAAAAGTTTTTTTGCTAGAAGATAAATCTTCTTTTAAAGGGGTGATAAAAAATTTATAAATAGCCTAAATGACAAGCCTCTTTCTCAAAGGATCAGTGGCAAAATTATTTTGCGAACAATTCAAATAACTAGTCTCTTTTTTTAAAAGGACCATAAAAATTTTGCACATGACTAAATTGTCATGTCTTCCTTTTCAAGGGACTTACAAAATCATGAGAAAAAATACATGAAAAAAAGTTCTAGATGTTGTGTGATAACTTATTAAATTTGAAGACTCACACCAAAATTTTAATTGAATCTAATAATTTTTTTTATTAAATTTATATTGTACTTAAATAAACAATAAAAAGAATTGAAAAACAAGCTCAACAAAAAAGCCTAGGTGTGCAAACCTATTAAAAAAAAAGCTCGTATGTTGAGACCTTATATTTTTTTTAATATTTTTGAAAAGTGAACAAAAATAAATTATATGACATGTCATTTACTAAAGCACACAACATGTCATATATTTGCCTAGAATCCAGTCACCGTAGTAGCTAGTTAACTCATTAAAAAAACACTTCATAAATATAGTCACCGTAGTGGCTAGAAAATTAAGGTAAATGTGTTTTTGTCTAAAAATTTTATTTTTTAACTCATTAAAAAAACACTTCATAAATAATCTTATAATATCTAGAAATTAATTTATCAACTTAAAAAATTACAAAAATAACCCCAAACACATGAAATTGATCCGGCTTAAATTTTTTTTCCTCAACTTTGATTTACTTTTTAAGTAATATTAAGATTTGAAATAATTATCATTCAACTTCTTTTATAAAATAAACTTGTGAACACTAATATCAAAATCCGTCAAAAACTTCTCTTCTGTTTTAAAACCAAAGAATAAAAAGTAATAAAAATAAAGTTATATACCAAAATTAAATTTTGAAAAATATAGAAAACTAAAAAAAATATAATTTAATAAATCAGAGTTAGAGTGTATGTTACTACAACTTTAAACACAACGCCTATTTTTGATGCCTTTCCTCAGATGGCTCCCTGTCTTTCAATTTCTTCCTAGCCGATAAATTTGAAGCAATTGGATGATAATCTTGTAATTGAAGGGCACAGTAATAAAAAGTTCGGGAACATAATTGAAAAAAAGAAAAAGAAAAATAACACTGCTCTAATGCACATCGTATTGGGAGTGGGTGAATAGTGTTTTTCATTGTAGAAACACCACCTTCCGCTTTAGTTTGTTTACTTGCTATGAAAATATCCTCTCACGGGGTCGGTGTAAACGACGTAGTTTGCATAAAGTGGAGGAGCGCCATCTTATTTCTCACACTCCACCTGCTCAGGACAGGGTTGGCGACATCATGATCAAATGGCGCTGGCTTCTCTACTTGGTGTGGGACCTTCTTGTAGATATTAATGGATTTTCTACTCGGTGAGGGAACCTTTTTATAGATATCAATGGGTTCTTTGCATGGCTAACACGTGTCGGTCACAACCGCAGGGAACCCTTACACAGTTGACGGTGCCTCCAAAAACCTAAGAAAATGTCCCACTTTCATTAACAGTAAAATCTCCCCCCAATCGGTTTTTGCTTTTCTTGTCCACCGCCAAAATTCCTGCCATCTTCGAGGGGACAACACTTACCTTATACAGCTATAAAGATTTCACTTATTTGCCTGACTTTGTTTAAGAGGCATGGGATATTTTTCTTTCTTTATTTATTTACGTCGATTTTCTTACAACCATGTGATGATTCTTACGTTTTAAAACTGTTTATTTTATGTCCGAATTGGACGATGACTCATAAAATCCTTGGTTTTATTAGTTTAATTTAAGGTCTGAGTTTGTACGGCTAAAAATGATTCAAGAGGAGCTAGTAGCTTTGACCATGAGCCAGTTTCTCAATTATTACTACAAAGGAAGGTGTTAATAAAGAGAAAAATATATGTGATATGGTAAATAAAAACATTTTGTCTTTACATTCTGCAAAATTTCACTAGATAGTTTTGTTGCCTAACCCTTTTGTTTTTGTTTTTTATAGCATTAATTATTTTGTTTTTGTTGGGGGAGATTATTACGAAACTCACTCCTTTATTGATGGTGTTGTGTTTCTCCTTTTTCTTCTGCAACAACCACAGCTAAAACTAAAACCCCCCTGCCTTTCGTTGCCTTTTCTTTTTTCCAGTCTTGATATTCTTTTGTTTGTTCAAAAGAAAAAAAAAAAAAAATTCTCCACCAAAGCAAACCAAAAACCCCATGTCAGGTTTGTATAATCCCAACTTTTCACCTGCAAGAACTGCTTCTCCTCAGATTAGAAGCACCCCAGATGTTGACAGGTATGCAAGCTTAGTGATTTCTTTCTGTAAACCTCATCATTTCTTTTTAACAAAAGACTTGGTCTTTTTTACTGATTTTGTTCAAGTTTTTGCTGTTTATCAATCTTTGTGTAGAGACTTCTATTTTCTTTTATCTGTTTTAATTGTTACTTACCCTTTGCAGTCAGTACTTATCAGAGTTATTAGCAGAACATCAAAAGCTTGGACCTTTCATGCAAGTTCTTCCAACATGTAGCCGGCTGTTAAATCAAGGTTTACTTCTTAGTCTTTCTTTTTTGGATCTAGGTTTTTCTAGATTTTCTTGGGTTTATTTTCTCCTTTTAAACTACCATGCTCTCAATTTCAGCACTGTGGTTTTTCAATGTGCTTCTCTGGGCGTTTAGATGTGTTTGATTGTTCTTACCAAGTGATTTTCGGTATTGTTTTCTTCGATTTGTATCGAATGTGTACTTTGTTTTTTATTGTTCCATTTCTGATTGTGGGGAGTGGTCATTTGGTATTCAACAATTTAACATCTGTAGTTGGGTTCAGGCAGCATTGTGGCGTGAGCTTGTTCACCATTTGGAAGGCCTTGTAACTATCCAGGTGGCTGGATTTGTCCAGAGTGCATGAAAGTAGGGAAATAATTACTATGAAAGGGTTAGCCTGAACTAATTACAGGTTTTTTTCATTGAATCACTGATTCTATGTCATCATGAGAGAAAAAAGGTTAATGAAAACCAGTGTATACAATTTTTTTATGCCAGCAGTTTACGGCATTTTGAGATATAGCTTTGATGGCACAAAAGTTTTATAGTAGCTTGTATTAGAGATTAAATTATGTGCACTATCTGGGTTTGGAAAATTCGAGTGCTTTTAAGTTCCACATGCAAAAAGTTTTTAACTGGTTTGCAGTGAGTCGGCAGAGGAAATTGTGAATGGCTCATGAAACGAATGTCTTCTATTGGCACCCTTGCTGATTTGAAGTATAAATTTTTTTTATCTTTTCCACCAGATTTTTTTCTGTTATTAACCTTGTATTTGGGTCTGAGATACAACTTACGTGTTGCAGCCTTGAAGAGAGGTGCTTGTAGGACTCTGCGCGATTATGGCCTAGGTTTAATTTGCTCATTGTTCTGGACCTAAATGACCTTGTAGGATATTTTGCTTGTGTTTGGTTTGGTATATTTTGCCCATTTTTTTCTCACTTTTGCTTCTTGTTCCAGCCATTTTTGCTCTGTTGCCCTTCTTTATTTTTTTCTCGGGACTTCAATTCTTCATTTAGTGTTGTTTTGTATAAGATTGCTCTGGGTCTGTCTCTCAAGTAAATGCTCGTTTATGTGTAGAAATTTTCCGGGTATCAGGAATGATGTCCAACCAAGGCTTTGGAGACTTCGACAGACTACGGCATAGAAGTCCCAGCCCCATGGCTTCTTCAAACCTCTTGTCTAATGTTGGTGGGACAGGTTTAAGCGGCTGGAATGGCATTCCTCAGGAGGTAATTGCTTCTTTTGATTTTAATTTGTATTCCATTTTTTTCCCCTACGGTCCTTTCTGCTTGCAGTTCTCTATTTGCATTCCACTTGTTAACCTGGGCCTGCCTGTAGTTTGAAATTTTGGGTAGATGAGGTTTGGATTTTCATTTTCTAACTGATTTTTTACTACAACTTTTTGTGAGAAACAATCCCTACGTTGCAAGATGCTTAAATGCCACCAAGCAGTATCTTTTCCTGAAGGATTGTTGAAGAATATAAAGAGGCATTCTTACTGGCGTTTGAGTTTTCCTTTTTCCATGCATATTTAACTATAGCTTTTTGTTTGTATTGTTTTGAGCATTTTAAATGCTACCAAGAAGAGGTTATCCTAGTGCATTAGTGACTAGTTTGATAACTGCTTTTTCTTGAGAAATAAAAAATAGAGACATGCACTTGCTGGCTGTTTCAATGTAGTACTTTATTATTAGTAGTTTCTTTGTTAGTATGTTCTTACTCATAAGCTAAAGAAACTTCTTCTTAAACTGTACGGCAAAAAGTTCCTCCTTCACCTTTGGCGAAGCTCCTAGTTCAATAATCTTTACCTGGAGAACTTTAAATACTTGTTTTTTGCTTTATGCTAGACAATTTTAAATCCTTGCTAGTTTTAAGTTCCGTAATCTGAACAATTTCATCAGGTGCTATGCCAAATACATTCTGAGTATTTGGCCATGCATTCAAAATCATCTTGCGAAACATTTACTTCTATAGTGTGAGGTTGGAATTAGATTCAAGTTTTTCACATAAGAAAAGGGACCCAGCTCATAGTCTGTACCATGTCATGCCTAAAAGCCCCGGGCTCTTCTTACATAGACTTTGACATCATATATTCTGGGTATATGTATAGTTAAAATGCTGAGCAGCTTAGAGACACCATGGTTGGGATGTTTCTTCTTAATGTAAAGACTCGGGCCAATACATTTACATGTTGCTCCAACTTTACTAGCACTTGCAAAATCCGTCTCAAATTTTTTTCTCAATTGGTTGATGATCCAAATGACAAAACTTGTGGGTCCCAACTTTTTCCTTTTTAATGATGGTAGAAATGTTTAAGATGATGGATTCCATTGTGAAAGCAGTTCCTTGAGAATACAGCTAAATTCTGGATGAATGACAACTGATTTCTAGCTGTCATACTATTAAAGTCAATTCCATTGTGAAACCGGTTACCTGAAATACATTTCAAATTAAGACACGCTCCCAGCTGTTATACTATTGTGATCGCTTATGTGTCAACACTCGTCTCTTTTGTACATCTGTTTTCACAAAGTAGCTTTTATCTTGATATTCTTGATCTGAACGAGGATTCCTTCTCTGAATCCCAACTTTCCTTGGTTTATAGTATAATTAAAAAAAGTGAGGATAGCTAATAGGTCTTAGCATAATTTTAATCACAAGATCATGCTGCCTCTGCAAAGTGTGGTTATTTGAGAAAGGAAAATCCAGTATGCTTAAAATGTCAAATGTTCTGTTAAATAATTGGTTATATTGTGATCGCTTATGTGTCAACACTCATCTCTTTTGTACATCTGTTTTCACAAAGTAGCTTTTATCTTGATATTCTTGATCTGAACGAGGATTCCTTCTCTGAATCCCAACTTTCCTTGGTTTATAGTATAATTAAAAAAAGTGAGGATAGCTAATAGGTCTTAGCATAATTTTGGTAAGAGGCCTCCTGACTATCTGATTATATAACCTCAGGGACTGTAACAGGTTGACAACAAGTGTCATTACTTTAAAATGTTGTGTTAATAACTGAGCTGCTGCCTTTTCTTTCCCATATTTCTCTATTATAATTGGCTGTATGATAACTAGTGTTATGGGTTTACTACTGATATGATGACTTGGTAAAATGAGAAGCTTCAGATTGAAGAGGTTATAATATTGTCTAGTTCTATTTATATTTATTTGTTAAATATTTTGGATGTCAATCCTTTTTGCTTCCACTGCTATGGTACACTAATATAGCTAAATTATTCATGCAGAGATTAGGTGGACCTCCTGGAATGACTATGGACTGGCAAGGTGCACCTGCAAGCCCTAGTTCATACACAGTGAAGAGAATTTTGCGTTTGGAAATTCCAGTAGATACCTATCCAAATGTATGTACTGTAAGTCATACCAATTCCGGTGTTATCCTGTTAAATTTAATTGGTTGAGCATATCTTCACAATTCCCTTTAATGAAATAGAATTGCTTAAGTGTTTTTATTTGATGGCTGCTTCTTTATTGTTAGTTCAATTTTGTTGGGCGACTTCTGGGACCTAGAGGCAATTCGCTGAAACGGGTGGAAGCTACCACAGGTTGCCGGGTGTACATTAGAGGGAAAGGATCCATTAAGGATCCAGACAAGGTAGTATACACACCCCTCACTGTAGTGCTATTGAAACCTGCTTTTTTTAATGACGGTACAGCCAAAGCTGATTGATATGACAAAGCAAACTTATGAGTAGAATCTTATCTTTTTTTATGCCATTTAAGTATTTTCCTAATCATTTTTATCTTATTCCATCTGAAAGGAAGAGAAGCTAAGGGGAAGACCGGGCTATGAGCACCTGAACGATCCACTTCACATCTTAATTGAGGCTGACTTACCTGCCAACATTGTTGACATAAGACTCAGGCAGGCACAAGAAATCATAGAAGAACTGCTCAAACCTGTGGTATCCGTTTCCATTCTTGAATCTTCTGTTTACAAGTTTTATGAAATTCTAAATTTTTTGAAGCTGGCGATCTTTTTGTATGCTTTGTGCAATATGGTTTTTCACTGTAAATCTAAGAATGGGAGTCTGCCCAAGGTGTCAGTCTGCCTGGGAACAACTTTGAAGGCAAATAACTTGGGAGTTGTGTGTTTAATGATAATATAGGTTTTCAGTTCATATTTGAGATTTGTAAAGTGAATTGATATTACTACTCTTGTATCTGAAGGAACCGGGTGCTAGCGTTTGATGTTAAGAAAGTGAAGAGGAGCTTTCTTGAAGGTTGAAACACAAAGCTTTTAGTTGGAGCCCTATTCTGTTTTTGAAACTGTATGCCTTTCTTGAAACAGGAAACAAGCCGTCATTGTATTGCAATTTTTTTTTTCAATAACCAGTAGAATCTATCGTTTCTAGAATTTGTTTCCCTTCATGCCTTCCAAGATATTAGGATGGAAATAAGTGAAAAATGAGCATCCAGCAATGGCATTCTGGCTTATGATCTCTATTTCAGTTCCTCTGGCACCCAAGTAGTAGTGATAGGCTTTACCCAGTCTTTATGTTCTGCTCATGCATTTCATTCTCCCTGCTCCGTTAGTTGATTAAAATTTGAAAAGCATTTCCTTTCCCTTACTATTGTAAAATATTCCTTTTTCCGTGCAGGATGAGTCACAAGATTTTATTAAGAGGCAGCAGCTACGTGAGCTAGCAATGCTAAATTCAAATTTCAGAGAAGAGAGTCCAGGGCCCAGTGGCAGTGTCTCTCCTTTCAATACAAGTGGAATGAAACGTGCAAAAACAGGGCGTTGATGAGATCTCATGTGTATTCCTGTCTGAATTGGTTTATATCAGAAAATCATGCCCAGAGTATGCCATCCAACACTTCTCAATTCAGATATTAGGCTAACGGTCTTGCTGGTGAGCGTTCTGGTGGTGGTTTCTTTTACATTTTGTTTCTTCTTTCTCCCAAGACAAAAAATGATAACATTAAATGAAAAAAAAAGGGAAAAGAAAAAGAAGAAGAATTACATAGTGGGTTCTTGAGTTAGGTTTGCGAAGGTCAGTTTTTTGTGTAAAACTTAATGTATTCATTGCATTTATTCTTGTGTTAGTAACCTGGAGGAATGTGAAATATATATATATTTATATATACACATGAATGGTGTAAGTGTTAGGTCTTCTAAGACTTTGGATCTGAGTTTTGTAGGTGTCAATTTTTTATTAATGGACTTTATATTTGGAATGATGCAGAACAAAATTAGCAAACCATTTGGTGGTATCTTTAAATAATAACTCAAGGTAGATGTGTATGATATCATCTCAGAAAGGGACGATGAGATTGACCAATTTTTTTTTTTTTTTATGTGTGTGGACATTGTTCATTCATGGTGAATTGAGATGCAATGACTGAAAATAAAAGGAAAGGAAACAGGTCGGCTACGTACAAATGTGGAACGTCTTGTTCCATCTTAAGATAAATCCATGATCTTGCTGGTTGGTTTATGTTACTTTCATTGGTATGGGATTCCCAGCTGGGGCATTCTCTTTATAAAATGATAATTAGTCAATCCTTTTGGTTTGAAAACCTCAATAATGAGTCTTTATATTTTCATATTTTGTTTGTAACACGGGAAAAAGCATGAACTTTAGGCCTTTCTATTGTACTTATGGTTGATGATGACAGGCTTGAAACTTGTCTTTTGTTGTGTTCTCGAGTGCTGGCACTCCCATGGGCCAGCTCTCTTCTTGTTAAATAGATGTTTTGCATCACATCCAGGGTAGATCGTCCTTGTTTGCCGGTGATACCATAACTCTGTGTGTGTGTTGTGTAAAATGTAGGATTTTTGTCTTGTAATACTTGGGATGAGAGGTGATTCTTCTGTCTGTAACATGTGTTGGACTATTCTAAGCAGATTCTTACATTTTCTTCTTGTTTTTGTTTTGATGCAACCATCCAAGCTCCTGTTGTGTCTACGACATGGGCACGATGCTGTAGTCACCTCTTGAGATTCATTTCAATGCACGTTGCATTGCATTAGATGGGGTGAGTGGAGAGCTCGGGTTGCTTGAGATCACAGGTCTTAGCTGTAGATTTAGGGATGGAATCGAGTATCTAGTAAGAAATTGCATATCAATGTTCATCAATATCTATTATCCGAATACCATTTCATGTTTAACATCAAATAGAACGATAACATATATTTGAGACGTGCTAATATATATTAAATAAGATGATTATAAATATGTAGCGTTATTATTGGGATGATATATATATATATATTGAATAAAAACAATTATAATTGTTTTTTATATAAAAAATATATGGCAGATTAGGTTTAGATTGAATTTCAAGACGAGTCTGGTGATATCCATGCCATATTTATACTGATCATCAAGTAAATATTTTTTTGTGAAATCTCTACCTGCCATTCTTAGCTTAATTTTAAACAGTTGTAGGATCCTTTATTTAAATAAGAGTGGTCCTATATAAATTTGGTTGGCAAGGCCTTTATTTAAATAATAGTGGTCCTATATAAATTTGGTTGGCATGGCCCAGCATGGCTAATCTCGAATAGAAGAGGACTAAATAGGTACCTTTGTGACTTGTACTATAAGTTGGATAAAAAAAAAATTAATATAAAAAAATTATTGATTGATTCATAATTAAATGAATCCCATTTATAAAACAAAAAAAAAAATCAAGAGCATGGGCAATAAAAACTAATCCATTTATAAAAAATAAAATAAAATCAAGAGCATGGGCAATAAAAACTAAAAATATTGACTCAAAACAAATTCATTAGGAGTATAATTAAGATATATTTATTAATTAAAAAGCGATGAAAATAATGGAATCTATGAATATATAAAATTTTATTGAAAATAAATCAATTTTAAATAAGAAAGATATTAGATATGAGGCATTGATGTGGTTAATTCAATAATATTATTAAAAAAATATTGATAATAAATAAAATGAATTTATTTTTTGTAATAATTAATTATAAAAACTAAGTGACAATATTATACTTGGGAAGGAAAGAAAGCTCATTAAAGACTAAACATTGCTTCGTCGTGGATGATGTCTTATCATTAGAAAAAGCTCATTGAAACAATTTTAAAGCAAAAGCTTATGAGACAATTCTTAAGCTACTATGAAAGGCTCTTCAACAACATCGAAAGAAGTAATATGTGTTATTAAAGCAATAACTTGAAAAACAAATAAAGTAAAATATTATAGAGTTAACATTTTATATTTATATTTAATGAATTAATTTGATTTGATTCAAAACAAAAATTCTTTAAAAAACTAAATTTAATAAAGAAAAACAATAAAAAAGATTTGAGATAATCTAGGTCATTTATAAAATTAGTGAAAAATCTTATAAAAATCAAATAAAAAAATAATAGATCCCAAACTCTAATTAAATTAATGATGAGGGATGAACTTTAAAAAAAAACATGAGCTAAAAATAGTAATGTCAAACGAATCTTCTAAAGCTAAGTCTAAAACTTAAAATATGAGAAATCTTAGACGTGGCTTAACTAAAAAGTTTATTTTGCAATAAATTTTATGTTGAAAAAAAAATACTTCAATCTAATAGATTCTTCAAAATAATATAAATAATAATAAAAAAGATCAAAATTGATATAAAAATAAAATTAAATATTAAAAAAATTGAGAAATGAATTATATAAAAAACATTCAACATAAAACTAATAAATAAAAAAATAAAGATAAAATATGAAAAATAAAAAAAAATTAAATAACGAATAAATTAAAAAATCAATTCTAGAAACCATTTCAAATAATAATAACAGTTATTAAAAGAATAAAAATTAAATTTTTTAAAAATAAAATAAAATAAAAGTTTTCTTTGAGAATTTAGAGTTAATGGGCAAAAATAATAATAATAAAAAGTTATCGGTGCCAGAACATGTCATTTTAAAAGAATTTAATTATTTTATCATTTTTTTAAAATAAAAAGTCTAAAAAATACCTGGACCTCATTTTCAGTTTATTTTTTTCTTTTAATGGTAAGTAATTTCATTGTATAAAAAATGTAAAAAGACACTACTATCCCTAGTAGTTAGGCCAAATGTTTTTGGTAAGAAGAGAAAAGTATTAATCCACAAGAAAAAATGAATCTAGAGCTGCAATCACTAACATTGTTCAAAACACTTCTCTGTTTCTTTTTTATTAGAGCTGCAATAACTAACATTGTTCAAGAAAAAATGAATAATAAATTTTAATAAATATTACTCGAAATTCAATCCAATATATATATATATATATATATATATATATATATATAAAGCATGCAATCCTTGCAAGAATTTAAGGAGAAAACAACAAATCAGTCAAATCTCAGGCTATAAACAAGGGCCGCAACGTCTGTTACGGTTATGTAACAGCCGTAAAA